CAAGTTCATAAGTTAAGTAAAACAAATATACCCAAAAAACAGTGAAACTAATGATATTTATACAAAGGTTTTGATCAACAAAATGTCTTCATTTCTCCCGTAACACAACCTTTACCAGTGAAACGTTCAGATCTCATTAGAGAAACTCGTAGAAACTATGGATTTATAATTAATGCCATACGGAACGGTTGGAATGCTAATCTGAAACGCAGATTCCCTATCCATTTTTCAAAGCGTGATGAGCTATCCACTACTCCTGATGGTATTTTGTGTTTCAATAATAATAATAATAATAATTTATTCTCAAATAACTAAGTTACAAGAGACACGCCAGTTTACAGGCTAGATCAAATTGTCACAAATGCTTTTACAATTACTGTAAAAGTTATAGCAGTTAAATTAAGTATAAGAGACAGTTTCTGATTGCATATTTACACCATATCACTGACAGAAACAGTATTATACAGCCACATTTTCAATATTAGAGTACAAATGAGGAAGGTGCACAATAGGTTCTATTGGCGATTGGCCGAGATCAATAGTGAATTTGTTGGGAAAGGTCATATGGAACGCGCTTGATACGAGCTGTGATCCAGACAGTCATGTACATTGGGTGCATGTTCCCTAGAGTTGCCAAGGATTTCCCACCGTGAATGGGGTTCTGAAAAGGAGAAGAGAGAGAGGAAAAGGCAGCAGTGTGGCAAGTGTATATATATAACCAAAGCACTACTTAACCTGTCATGTTAAAGTAGTCAATACAGTAGTAAGTCAAGATAACATTCATACTGACCACTTAAATTAAAGTAAATTATGGGAATATAAGAATATAACGCACATATAAAGGAGTACAGCAAAAAGAAGGGAGAGTTGTGCAGTGTCAGGTGGATAGAAGAGAAGTCGAAGTAAGAAGCTGGATTTATGTACGTTGAAATCAAAATTCTAGTTAAAAGAGTAGAGTTTGTAAAAATAAATATTTGACGAATAAAATCTCGTACTGTCTAACTGTTTTTTTTCTTTATTATTGAATGCCAACCTCTAAGTCATACTGTAAGCGCCTGAGTAAGAATGTTGCAGGTGTCTCGACAGAATAGCGACCTCAGCATAGTTTTGGAAACATGAACCACAGAAGTAGCAAGCGTATAAGAGCAACCTCAGTGTTACTGATTAGTCGTCTCATCAATCTAAAGAGCCGACCATGATTAGATAAATTTATTAATTCAGTTGCAAAAAAAATTATAAACGTGAGAACAGAAACATTATAGGTATTCAAAGCTAATTAAAACGGGTAGACTAAAGATTTAAAGTATGCCGAAGCTAGGCTGAACGTGAGAGATCTTGAATGTTGGATAGAAAATCTAGGTTAAAGCACAGATTAATACTTAGTGTAATGAAGCCACAAATGAGACCAACTCATCAAACATAAAGTTTCAGCCAGACTTATCGGAATAAAAACGCTACTGCTGTCGATTATGAATTTAAAAAAATCGTGAAAAATGCAAATTTCGTTTGCATAGGGCTCTGAATTAGTTGTTTGTAAAACAATCAGACAATAACATATCTAACTGTGAGATCAAATATGGCTTCCTGAATAAAACGCGAGTCAATGAAATCAAAACCGTGATTAGAGGAGAGTGGGAACGCTATTCTTAGACATCAAAAATTAACTAAATTCGGCAAAGCAAGACAGTAAAATACGCATGCACAGTTGTAAACCGGTTCAAATCGGACAAGAAGGGATTTACATTGCCTAGTGGGTATACTGAGAAAGGATCATGAAGAGCTTTAACTCTAAGTGCGTCACTTTTAGTTTTTAAGTCTCAGCTATAGATGACTTGTAGCTTCTTTTTAAGGGTAGTTTTTGTGGAGTGATGTGTATATTTCTATGACTACCATTAACTCCAACGCTGTCTAATGGATTGGTAAAAATAAAGGGTCGAAAATTATCTTGAAAACCAAACAGCTCTAAAAATCTGCAGAAGATGTGGCTTCACACAGTCTTTAGGTATGCTTATTTTTGCAATTTTCAATCAGAATGTTTTTCAGATGTCATAAACTGTAACCTCATGAATCTATGTCAAGTACATCAGTACTTATTACACAATCTACTCTTTCAGATTGCATCCCATCACACTAAGTGAATAATCAGTTCAGTGATGAAAGATATGATGAGTCACTCGGGATCGTTTTTATGCTTGATTTGACAGCGTGAAACCTAGATATATAGTTTTAAACGTCATTCTAAAGTTAGAAACAACTGCCAATTGAAAGTGGCTTGATGAGATGTAACATAAATTTCTATGGCGAGAAAAAACAAGCGTAACCTAGGACTATAATTGAAGTATGCACCTAATTACGTAATTGCCAAAGCCCTCTGACTCAATTTGTTTAAGTACTTGTATTTTGGATGTAAATAGCCTTACCTTTGCTACAGTAGGGCAAACTACACACGCATGAGAGAGGTGCTCCTACATGCCCCATGACCACGGGAGTGGCGAAGGCTGATAGTAGATGATCACTGGCAAGCAGTGAGAGATAACATCCAAAATGCTGTCGTAGACAACGTACCTCAATCACACCCAGAACGCCAGAACAGAAGAACCTGGGTTAGGCGTGGCACGGAACGCTTGCTACAGGCGAAGAGGAAAGCCTGGCACAAGTCTAAGGTCTCCTTGAAGGATTCCGATCGCAGTTCTTACTTGGTATTGAGAAACAGATGCAATACCAAAGTTCGAAGCGACAGGAGACAATTCCAGACGATACTAGCCGCCAGAATAGAGGCAAACCCGAAACATCTGTTTAGGTTCATGTCCAAAAGAATACCTACTAATCAAGGGTTGTGCCCCCTAAAAGGGCCTAACGGAGAAGACCTCACCAACCTAGAGATGGCCGAGATCTTCAACACCCATTTTTCTGATCAATTAAACCAGGCGCCTACATGTTCAGAGTATTACGCCAACCCAATGCCAGCTGACGGCTTAGAGAACATCCGTATTACTCTTGACCTCGTATTAAGGAAACTAAAATCCTTACGCCCAGCTAAGTCACCAGGTTGTGACAACATCCACCCTATAGTCTTGCAACAGTGCGCTGAAGCCCTCTGCTCACCGTTATGCAACCTGTCCAGGCATTCACTGGAGTCACACCGATTCCCAGTGGAATGGAAACAAGCTACTCTCTCTCCAATCTTCAAAGGAGGAGATAGAAAGGACCCAGCCTGTTACAGACCAGTCGCACTACTACCTATATTATCAAAGGTTATGGAAGGGCTAGTGGACGAACAAATGAGGGAGTACATGGATAAGAATAAAATACTCCATGAAGCTCAACACGGGTTTCGGAAAGGCAGGTCCTGTGCATCTAATCTTCTCATCGCATGGGACAGTTGGACATCCTGCTTGGACCGTAAAATACCAGTGCACGTAGTATTTCTCCACTTCTCAAAAGCTTTTGACACAGTGCCCCACGCACGCCTAATCGAAAAGGTTGTGGAAATGGGCTTCACTGACCCACTCGTATCTTGGCTCAGAAACTACCTTGAGAATAGAAAGTTTCGCACCAAGGTAAACAGGGTGCACGCGAGTTGGAGAGTATCCACTTCAGGAGTTTCACAGGGGACCATCCTAGGCCCACTCCTCTTCCTGATATTCATTAACGACCTGCTAAGCTTAGTTAGCTCACCGGCACTGATCTACGCAGACGATGCGAAGATCTGGAGGTCCATTAGAAGCGAAGAGGATTCGACTGAGCTTCAAAAGGACCTTACATCCATTGAGAAATGGGCAGTGAAAAACGGTTTAAAAGTCAACCAACCGAAGTGCCACGTCATGCATTTCCTGCCTCATATGACGCAAACCACCTACACTCTCAATGGAAGTCCGCTCCCTAATGTCTCCTCAGAGCGCGATCTTGGTTTAATAACCACAGAAAGCCTCCACACGAGTCCGAACTATGTAGGGGATGCAGCCAAGGCAAATGCGACTCTTCACTTTATGCGAAGACAGCTTGGTGCTATAACCCCGAAATTATTTTTAACCCTCTTTAAGACGTACGCGCGCCCACACTTGGAGGTTCACAACGTCATCGCACCCTCTCTGCCTAAAAGAGACATTAATCTCTTGGATCGAGTGCAGAGACGAGCAACCAAATGGGTGATAGGGTTGAAAAATAAACCGTACGACGATATACTCCAGCCCTTGGGATTATTCCCACTGAGCTGCAGGAGAATCAGAGGTGACCTGATTATGGCGTACACCATATTAAACACGCCAAACCATCCCAATGTGAGCATCTTACCGATGCATCACCACCACTCTCCTCGAGGCAATCCTCGGAAGATTGCACATCAAAGAGCAAACACTCAGATTCGTGCACACTTTTTCTCATTGCGAGTCGTCGCAACTTGGAATGCTCTCCCATCCGAGGTAGTTACAGCCCCCTCAGTGGACTGCTTTAAGAAGAGACTTGATAATCACGTACTCACATGCGGACTATCATCTCCCTCTTGGACAAGCTGTGCCTGATGCATATCGTGAGACCTGCTAGTTGTTACCATTGCCATCTCCTCAGATCACTTAATTAATCTATCTCGCCTATTCCTCTCCCTTGCTTACACTTCGGTCCTCTCTCACAATCTTCACTACCAATTAATAAACTAAATTCATCTATACATTACTCAGTTCTGAAATTTTACTCATATTATCATTTTAATTTACCCTTATTACACTTATTACTCTCCACATTGCAACTAACTGATCTCCGGTTTGGTAATGTGACGGCTGCTAGTATCCAGAAACCCTACTGCCCTGAAACAAACGTTTCATTCAAATCCCGAGACATACAAACTCACAAGCGACTGCCAACTGACTAGAATTAGACAGTCGAGTGGCTAGACCTCCATCCATTGGACATTACCGAACACCTGGAACCGTACCGAAAGAACAAGAATCGAGCGCGAAGAAATCAAATTGGTTTACACTAGCTCGTGAAAAAGATATTGGATATTGAATTCACATGACATAATTTGAAAGTGCATAACTTATTAGCGTGTTACTTGAATTAGACAGTAATGTTGGTGTAGATACAGTGAATATGACTTCTAGATTTCAAGTAATTAATTACGTTTTGAATACTTAGGATTATATTCCCACTTTCTCGACAATACCTATTTTGTACTTTTTCGTTGAACGTTAGATATTATTTCAAAGCTCAAGATTCTTAAATGTAAAAATTTGACAGTGAATTGATGTTAACTAAAAACTTGATAAGGTACTGAATTTATTCTTGAAATTGCAGGTCGTTTCTCGGTTTTATTTGTAGTTCTTTACTTTCTGTCTCTTGACTAAACTTCAGCTTGTGGATCTTGGACCAAAAGTGAAATTTTAATGTTTTAAAGAATTTTCATGGGAATCTTTTGTAATCAATAAGTGGTATTTTCATTATTGAGCGTGCGAATAGCTCAACAATTTTATAAGCAAGCACTTATACATGTGCTAAAATAATTAACTTATAAACTGCACATATTAACTCAACACAAATAATTGCCGTGGCCATAGGCTTCTCTCGACCTGTCGAAAGAATTTTTAATTTTAGTGAGACAAAGTTCTTTTGTTATCGATGAACTGTTTCGGCTAGCTAATGTTCTGTGCCAATATGTAAGTAAATCTATTGACCAACCCGTTCGTACCTCGTCAGATGCTTTCTGCTGGTAAAGGATGCTGAATTCTAGTAAAATCAAACTGCAGGGTTTCTTGATCTCATATAATTTATGTTAGGCCAAACAGTCAAAGCAAGAATATATAGTATTTGGATCTCAGAAAAAGCGTTTGTTTTCTAGATAATTTAAAGTAATATTCGTATTCAGCAAACCATAATTAGCAATAATATCAGTAACTATCAGTGGGTTTTAATATTTTCAAATATTGGGGTGTCTAGTAAGAAAGGATAACATGGTCAGTTCGGCTCAGGTGTGAAAGAAATTTAAAGCATGTTCTGCAAGTATGACTGAGATGCGCTTTATGTAGCTTGTCCGATTCGACCATGCTCATTATTTCAAATATTACTGGCAAAAGGCTATAGTCGCACGGTTGCCGCTGCTCTTCAATTGTATGGAATTCTTCATAATTTTTCATCAAACAAATGGTTCAATAAACTTATAGTGTTTTGGAAATGTGGCTTTTAATCCCAGCCATCAGAGAAAACTGATATTCTTCGGTGATAATGCAGTGTATATTTGCATTAGTAACAGTTCTAAAATTTTGTCGTAAATGCAGAACCCGAAAAAGGCAAAAGGGATCTATTAATAGAAACCTCCTTTGAATCCCTCAAACCCAAACAAATTATAGCTCACATTAGTTGTGGTTCGATAACTCATTATACGAATCAATATGTGACAAATTTTCTGTTAATATCAGGAAATTTAAACATTTTTCTTAGACTGGCTGAAGCTTAAACGATTTATTAGGTTGGTCAAAATTCACTATTTATTAATTTCAAAATGGTGATAAACGTACAAATGATCAAGAACGCTGATTCATAGATACTTTCTTTTCGAAGCGTACTCAGCTAATCATCGTTAACTCATCTAAAATACTCGTCTCTGAGTGATGTAATAGAAACCTAATGGAAAATATGTGACATAATCTATTCTTAATTTCGCCTTTTTTTCTTAGCTATATCGGTAACAAGTAGGTCTGATTATTTAAATATTATCCACAGAAAACGGTCATTCGGGTACTCTTTTCACTTTTAACGTGTGAGCTAATTCACAAAGTCATAAGGGAAAGTATTGTGTTATGATCACTTTTACTTTCATAAAACCTCACATTCATACAAAGTAATTTTATAACAGGGAAAATTAAGCACCAAAAACTGACAGAAGTTTTAAGTATTTCCAGTCATTTTTATCCTAAGTTATCAGGAAGTGTGTATCTTTGGGTGTATTATTTTCAAAAAGTATTTTAAATGAAAGTACAAAAAAGTTTAGTGATTTACTTTTAGAGGTAAACTAACGTTGTCATTTGACGAAAACTGATGTTTTTAAATTTCTATGGCCTTATATTTCGTGGCTTTATTATTTTTTTATTCATAAAATCTGTTTTTAGGCAAGTTTAATTCAAATGCAAGAAAGCAAATTACTTGACTTTAGACAATGACAACAAGTTATGTAAAATGTTGACGACCGTTTCTATTTCCGATGGTTCCTGTTGTTTTTCAAAATCTTAATTGTGAATCTCCAGCAATATTAGGCTTTGAAAATCTAATTTTCCAAAATCAAGGTAATTATTTTACTGCCTCTAATTTTTTAAAAAGAGTATGTTTATTTGGAGATCTTAATCCATATAACTTTGAAGAACTTCAAGTGATTTCAAGTAGTTTTCTTCGGATAGTTTGAACTGAAACTTATGCGAATGCTGTTGTAAATTGGCACTAAAAATGGCATATTGATCAAATTTGTTACATTTTGATAAGACTTTATCCCAATAAGATGCGGACACCGCGTATCTCTCATCAATCTGTTTACCTGAATTCTTCTAACAAAAATCTATTCCCTACTGTTTTAATATTTAGATTTTAATATATTTTCTAGAAAGTTCAAAAAAACCGACCTGTCGAAAATATGAATAGCATTTTTGCCTTGTTATTTTAGTCCTAAGCGATACCTTGTCCGTGATTGTTAGTACAAATAAAATTCCTCTAAGTTAATTTGAGCTGTAGAACACCCTGATACTATTCTTCTTGCCACATACTGTTACAGCAATGGCCTAAAATATCTTAAATGTCCGCTATGGTCGAGTAATCTGTTTATAGTAGTTACCAGTAATAATTAAGAGACCTTCGTCTTCTTATTGGATTGTACAGTAAGACATAAGTGATATATCTTAAGCTTTCCAAAAACTTCTATTCATAACATATTTCTGAAGATACTCTTACTCCTGTGTATGACATTCTAAGTTCTCATGCAGAAAAATTTAGTCTCTGGTGTGCGATATCAAATAAAATCATAGTCGACATCAAAAAATATTACAGTAACTTTCATTAAGATGTTCTGGAAAACAAGCTTGTTCAGTTTTGCCGAAGCTTTGTCACAAGGCTGAGATTTCCCATGCATCAGCTATGATTTTTCAGTTCACATTCTTTTTATCAGATACTGAAATGAAAAGATGCTGACAAGCTTTCGTAGTTTCATAGCCACAACAAATTGTTCACCGATACTATTCTTGACTGTGTGTCTTCTAGTATGGTATAGCAGTAAGTTTATCGAATCCACTGAAAATGTAATAGGCAGTTTAGTTTGATATGGCAAAGGGAATTGTCTAGGGAATGTAAATAATATTTATTGAATGATTATGTTTAGAATTACATGGTAACATGTTTACGATAAAGCCCAGGAAACTATCAATGGTACATATAGCCTGCCAAAAAGTGGTAATCTCAAATAAATAGACGTAAATAAAAGCATTGGAATATCCAACTTGTTTTAACTAAGTCATAGCTAATTGAGTCATGTCAAACATTCAATAAATAAAATCTGTACTTCTCAAATAAAATGAACATAATTACAAATATTTATATCTAAGAGGCGGGAAACATTGGCAGAAGATTTTCTGGTCGAAGCTCTACCCAAGAAGATTCGTGAACAAATGGATAAAAGAGATGCTGTAAGAAAAGTAAGTAAATTTATTTTTTAAAACGTCATAGCAGCTAAAAACGAATAAAAGTTTGATTACACATTCAGTTAATTATGTAGATGATAAACCTGTTCTCTGGTTATGCAATGATGACTAACAACTTTTATGACGGAATGTTTGATTTTTATTAGGTGGTTAGGGCAACTTTTATTCGAAAGCAGACTGCTACATGACAATTCGCCTAAAGGCAAACGGTATTTATATTTTCCGTTCAATCAACAATGAACAAAATTGAAATGTGTTTCTCGACTAGGCAAGCGAGAATGAACTACTTCAAAAATTTCATCGCCGTAGCTGTAAATAATTCCAAGGCACCACGTAGTTCATATGTTTACATAAAAGGCCTAGTTTTTTATTTGAATAGGAGTAGTAAAGAAGTAGTGATCTATCTATCTATGTTTGAGAATGTGCTGCGATAATTAATTGCCAGTTAAATTGAGTTGAATCGTCCCTCTCATTTTTCAGGAAATTACTTCTTCAATTCAACAGCAATATATATCGATAATATACAGAGTTCTCAGTGATGCTAATTCTTATACAAAAGACTTAAAATGATATGCAATCAAATAGAAAAATATGATTGAGTGTTTTAGATAATCTCAGCACATATGGTAGCTTAGAATGACACTTCTGTGGCCGTTTTTGTTTACTTATGAATTTTAACACTATGTTTACTTGCTCGTTCAATAAGCATTTATTTTTTGTGAGATTTTCACTTTCGTATTCGAAAGAATCATGCTTCAAATGATCATGAATTTATTCAGTCTAATGTACATCAGTGCTATCAGATCTAGTTTTAGTCTTACTAAACTTCATGTGTACATATTGATTACTTTTCTTACTGTTATTGATTTTCGCTACACATGATTTTCGATACAGTGATAACATACAATGTTTAAATTCTAAAGGTTGATGATTTATAGGGTACAAAATACAGTTTGTTTTGAGTTAGGTAAGGTTTAGACGGGACATGTTTAAGTGAATAAGTATGTATTGTCAAATCTCATATTGACTTGTAGAGGAGTTCCGCACAAATTGTGAACAAATTTAATAATGATAACATTATCCCTAACCACAGTAACAGTAATGATAATAGTAAGAAGAAGAAAAGGTAAGTTTAGTATCAGTAGAAGCTTTTAAATAGATGTATTAGTTTTAAGAAACGTTTTCGGCCTTAGGTATGTGGAATATTTCTACAAAAAGCGCACTATTTCTCTTCTAAAAAAGTGAATACATAACAGATGTAGCTAAAATTCTGTGCAAGCTTGCAGCTTTCCAACTTGTTTCTCAAATAAAATCATACTCTTCATACTCCAATTATAAATCTAAATTAGCTATCACATTTATCCAACCTTTATACCAGATTTTTACTTCATTTCTTTAAAATAAATTAGTGTCCTAACATCAATAGTTAAGTGTCTTACTTTCTGATGGGAAAAGTTTGCAGGTTTCGTTTTACCTGAGGAGCATCATTTTACATATTCGGTGGTCGTCCACTGCGAGCTAACACTTTTTTACCTAAGTTTGCTGAAATGATTTGTTAATCATTTCTGAATGCATGCAGTCTCTCTTGACTAGCGTTTTGAGTGCTTAACTTCTATCAGCCAGACTACTCGGCAATAGTTCACAGTTCTGTGAAATGTTTCAGATAGTGGGGAATGAGCTTTAGTTGTTTCTTAATTAGTTGTTTGTTTAAAGTAACCCATTTCGAGCAGTCATACATTAATAATACTTTCATACATAAAGATAATCGTTTCCTCTTCATAACAAGTTGCTTTCCTATTTATAAGCACAACATTAGCTGCTAAATACCATTACGATATACACTGTTTCAAATCAAAGAATTTATTTATACTTTTAACAGGTGACAAGTATAAAGGTGCTATTCATCACAAATTCTTATTAGTTGAATAATTAAGCAGGTACTGTAAACTTTTAAAATTATTCAATGTCAAGTGGCTCACAATTTCTAATCATAGTGGATTGGGGCTAATCTTATTTAATGTCCTGACATACTCGTTCACAGTGCAATTACTTTAATTTTTCAAACAAATCAAAGTACTGATATTAATATCCATCTATTTCCCAATGTCATGCTATTCCATTTGACAGATTTTCTTAGAGTTTCATCTTGATATCAGAAATGCAGAATTCGGTTTATGCATATATATATATATATATATATATATATATATATATATATATATTTGCTAATCTATGATCAATATTGTTGTCGATACTTAATAAGCTGAATTAAGGCAACACTAAAACAGATTTCATATTGGTCACATTATTCAGTTAGTTAGACCAAAAATATAGGCAGGATTTTTAGATTTGCATAAGAATCTAATTTTAATTTATGAAAAAAAATCAACGAGAATTTATTGATAATTATTCCGATAAATTAACAATTTACATTATTCCTGTAGTTTTAGGTATTATCAAACTTTGTTATCTTTAACTACTGTTTACTAAATGATGTTTGAAAAATTTGTTAAACTTCATCAAAGTCCAATTTATAATTTTGCATCCGTATTTTAAGTTGTAATTCATTTTGAACGATGAGTTATTCATCTTACAATCATTTTGTATTCTTTTAAGAAAACAACCTAGTACATACATGTTAATCAAGCTAATGATCAGTATTCGTGATGTCAGAATTCATTGATTTAAAACAGAAGAATATTGAAACTTTTTCTATTTATCGTCATAATTACATGAAATTTGATTTATTTTAATCCTTTTTTATGAATCGACCATGATATGTTAGAAAACATTTACTAATACAGTAATCAATAACATTCGTTTTATATTGTCTACTTTTTGCTACCTATAAGATGTATGGTCATTATGTATACCTGTGCTATTAAGTTAACACTTTCTGTTAAAAAGTGATCAAAAAATTTGGTTTTGATGACTTTTATGAAAATGTTTTGATTGATAAATACTATTTGTTTAATATACCACCGCTTCAAAATTACTACAGACGTTTGAAAAACTACAGTGATAGATGAACGACATTAATTGGTAATTGTTTTCAAATCAGTAGTTATAAAGTATCGATTCTTAATGAAATTCCAAATGATTTATAAATCAAATCTTGATGAACTTTCTATTGTATATAATTTTGTCACTAATACGCTTTTGAATGATGTACTTTTAGGTTTTTTAATTACATCAATAAGAACTCTTGACTATAAATTTTAAAGTACTTAGTATTTATTTGATGTTTCAAATATTTTCAACACTCAAACGATTAGGCATTTAATTAGTTCGATATAGTTGTTTATCTCTTCAATGTTATTTTAGTTATGATTATTTCGACAAATTTAATATCGTTTTTGAGGTCATAAGAGGAAAAAATCCGACGTAAAATCGTTGTAACCTAATGATCTCTTTAAATTAAAAGAAATTTGGTACAATAATATATTAAAAGAGTTATGATCAACAGCGAAGGTCTTAATGGTTTTATATTCAAACCGAAGTTAATAACATAGTTTGAAAAATAAATTCTCCAAGATATGTACATAATATAACATCAAATAGTTTCAGACAACAAATTAAACATACAAATCTAACCACTGTGTAATGACACTTATAACTCACATCAACTGAGTAACGTTTTATTTAAAAAAACAACAGTTACATATCTAGTTGTTATGAAATTGGCAAATCAACTTAAGACAGTTTAGATAGTAGCATATTTAACTTCAATTCAACCACAAAATGTAATTTATTCAAAATGAATTAAAACTAAACAGATAATATTGATCGTACTAGAAGTTATTACATTTTTTTATTCAGTAACCGATTATTCCCCCGCTTTACAAGCACCATCGTTATTCTTGATGCAATAAAAAGACAATAGTTTTTTCTGTTCATGAACAAATTCACTTTAAATTCTGTGTCATATTCAAAACTTTTACTGAGATCATTATTATTCCAAATCTAAATACGTTTGAAAAATATTTAAGGATACCCGGGGATTATTTTGTATACGGAACTATGCATCAATGTGTGAGTTAGTTAGTTAGTTTTACTAATCTTTAATGATAATGTCTAAAATGAATCATGATTATTACTGCTATTATCTTACAGAGTGCAGTGTATGTGATTTTCATGATATATATATAAGCTTTTATTAAAATAACTTCACTGAAGTTTAAGTTTAGGCATAGTTCTTATTGGAATAACCAAAAAAGAGTTTTTTCACTGGTACAGTTTATGATGAACTGAACAGTGTATTCTGCTTAAAAAAGTTTGCAATAAGGACCTTAGAATCGTTTTACAATCAGTTATTGAACTACAGCGATGCAAAAGTGTTAAAATCAGTTATAGAAGAAAACCCATATTAAAGATATGTAAATTGAGATCGAAAAATCACTAGAGTTTATCCCATTTCCATCAAATAAATTCATAAAATAATTTTATTTCATAGGAACATTCATTTTAATTCACTTAAAAGATATGACATTTGTAGGTAAATGACCGGAAATCAATGCGTATTTACTATTCAGGTTAGTCATACAATTGATCGTTTGCTCAGTTTATTAATAACACATCAAACGCTTCTGAATTCAGTGTAAATTACAAAATGACTCGTTTTGACATTAAAGTTCAAATGCATAACTAATACTTCTTCACCTTATAATTTTTTAATATTGATCGAGCAACTTTAAACCAAACTTCACACTTAATGATAAAATTGATTGTGAAAAGTAGATGGAAATTATGCTTCGAAGTCGAATCACTTTCTAAACGTATTTGTATCCTTTGTTTAAACTGACTATACACGAAAATTCAAATCACCTCAATCACTTTCAGGGTAGTTACTACTACGATGTCCTATCTTGAATAGTGTTGATAAGGTTTTCAATGTAATTTGCTGTCTTGAAATGATTATATGCTTCATTTCTTGCTGAACAGTTTGAGTCCGTTGGAAGCAAGAAACAAATTCAAATGTTGTAGTTTTAATTGTT